AAAAACCAAAACCCTCAGTCTTGTCTGTTCAACAGGAGAAAATTAAGGGTCATCCAGGTTTTTATATCTTTAAGACATGCTTGTAGTCTAAGTAGCTGATTGGATTCATTGGGTTAAATGGACAAATATAATTGTGTGTCATCAGCATAACAATGAAAATTTATCCCATGATGTTTAATAATTTTACCTAATGGAAGCATATATAAAGTAAAGAGTATTGGCCCAAGCACTGAGCCCTGAGGAACTCCATGACTAACTTTGGTGTATGAAAAAGATTTATTATTTACATTTACAAACTGGAATCTATCAGATAGATATGATTTAAACCAATTTAGAGTTGTTCCTGTAATCCCAACATCATATTCAAGCCTCTGTAGTAAAATATTGTGATCAATTGTATCAAATGCAGCACTGAGGTCTAACAGGACCAGTAGAGACACAAGTCCATTGTCTGAGGCCATGAGAATATCATTAGTTACTTTCACCAGTGCAGACTCGGTGCTGTGGTGAGCTCTAAACCCTGACTGAAAGCCTTCAAAACAGATTATTTCTTTGCAGATGATCACATAACTGACCAGCAACTGCACAGGAGACCCAGGAGACAGGCGCTCTGATCTAGGCCAGAAACCTGGTCACTACTTGTACTCCTGCAAATATTCAGGTGTTTCTGTCTTCTCAGAGCAGTCTGAGGACCTTACTCTGTTCAGTCAGTAGAAGATGTTCAGGGTCTTCTGCTTTTTACCTTTTTAAATAATGGCTTGTCCACCAGATGAGATGTTGTACCTGAATTTAACATGCATTCAACCTTTATTTAGACGGATAAGTCACATTGAGCCTAGAAGACTCATTTACAAGTGAGATTTGTTTAGACAGACAATAAAAGTAGTGAAACTGGACACATGTAGGAATTGGAAGCGAAAAAATTCCTATCAGACGTTTTTTTTTTCCTGCCTGAGAAGAAAAACAAGCACAAAAACAAGCACATAGTGATGTAGACATTCTGCAGACGGAGGAGATGAGAGTGGTCAGCAATGTTCATAGATGCTCTTGAGGTCACTGTAAGAGTTCTGATAAGGATTAATCAGTCAATGTCCTCCAGTGAGATCCATAAACATTCTTGAGGGATGTCGAGGAATGGCCAAGAATAACGTCTATGAGAATCCAAGAGTCCTGAAATGATGACACAAGTTTATTCAGCTGGTTTCATCTGGTTATCAGTTGGAAATTCCTCGGGGGGTGAGCGTCAGATCCAAGGGCGTCAGAAGCATCCGTAATGTGGGGGGGACACACTGATGTGTGTAGGTGTGTGTGCGTGTGCTTGGGTGCGCGTGCAAGTGCGCGCATTTAAAAAAAGGTGTTCACTAGTGAACAAAAAGCAACATTTAATCTAGATTTCCTTTAATTCCACACATTTAAAACTTGTTTCTCTCCAAGTTTGTGTAAATTCATCTGTGGGTTTTAAAGACATTTTAACTTTAATACACTTTAATACAGAGCGTCAGGTCGGCACTATTTGTCTTTATAGAGAAATAAAAACCATCACCACTGGACTTTTTTACTTGTGTTCAACACTCCTCGTCTAAATGATGTTTGTCATGAAGCTTGAGGACAATAAGGTGTGGGGGTTTAAAGACATTTCTACTTTAATGCACCTGAACACACAGCGTCTCTTACACCTGCAGCGTCTGACAGCGTCACAGTTACTGCTGAGATAACATGCTACGTAGCGCTCCTCTCAAACATCCTCCTAACATGTATATATGTTGAAGATCAACCCCCACCCCCACCCCCCTGGTCAACAACTGCCCGCACTAAGCTGCTAAACTGGTGAACGAGTAACACAGACGTGTCTCCACCTCCTCCACCTGTGAGCGTTTTCTGCCGAAGCAGGAGGAGACGCACAGAAACACTGCAGGTGTTACACCATATTCTGTGACCACCGTATATTGAAACCGTGGCAACAGGCTGCTGTGTTTAGAGCTGGAGGTAACCAGGAAAACCTGGAGTGGAGTTTTAGTGGTTTGAGTATTCTCCTAGTACTCAAGTGGAATGGATTTGTTCACGAAGAAAGACAAACTGCGCTGCCTGAACTAATGTTTTATAGTAAAAGTGGGAGGGTCCAAATGAATGTTTTTGGAATGTGGGGGGGACTTGTCCCCTTCACATGTAATGGTTGCGACGCCTATGGTCAGATCACGTTCTCCAGGTGTATTCAGATAAGATGGCCTTCAAGGCAGCCAGGGGAGCCAAATTCAGATAAACACACAGTTGTTTTGGGGACAGGCAGAAGTTAATGACACCTACCTTGAGTCTGTGTTGGTCCACTCGGTTCCGAAATGTCCAAATTACATGGCTACACCGATGGAACGTGACTGAGTAAAATCCCAGAGAACTGATCCATTCAGCCCAAAGCATTTGAGTCTGGGTACTTGAGACACGAACCAAGCCATTATAAAGGCAAGCAGTGTGATCGGGTCCAAATTTGCTGCCGACGACTTCCTTGATTGTAGATAAAACCAGCAACCAGCCGAATCCAAAAAGCAGGAACCAGTTATCGTAAATCCAATTAAATATGCGTCCTTAAAATCCACAGATGGCAGCAGAGATAGACACATCATCAAGTCTTCCATTCGATGAGATATCCAGCTGCGTGCGTGCCAACAGGGCAAATCGGCTCACCTAAAGCCTGTCTTCTCTTCGAAGAAATGTTGTAAATTACGTTGAGGGACCAACTGATCAAAACAAGTCCATAATTATGGTTCTGAAGATGCAAGAGAGGCTCACAAGCAGTTTCACAGACAGAGCAGCAAAGCGGAGAGGGAGGGGAGGGGAAAAGCATCCGACCTCGGCAAGAGCAAGTGGTGAAGAGTGATGACAGCAGTGGACAATCATAAATGATGCATACAAATTGAGAATAACAAGTGAAAACAAAATGGTATTAAAAATTTTTACAAAAAAATAGCTAGATTATAAGGCGATGTAGAAAACTAAAAACAGGAACATGTCTGTGTTGGATTTGCAGGAACTAATCAGATGTTTGAAGCCACTTAGAGAGGTCAAGGTCGAGAGCTTCAGGTCTTTTTACAAGATATTACAGGAAACAGGAGCGGAGTAGGAGAAGGTCCTTTTGTCTAGTTCAGTCCTCACTGTAATAAAAGAAGCTGCTGGACAACCTGAAGAATAAACATGAATCACTGCCAAGGTTTTGGATTCAAAATAAGCCAGGAGGAGGGTATGACATAGGTTGGTAGCCAGAACGGCCGTCCAGAGCTGTTACAGGGCTCAGGTGGGCGGCCAAGAGGTTGTCCGACAATTAGCAATGTCAAGGGCGAAAAACCGGGCGACCCTCCAATACCTTGCAATGGGGCCAGATCTGCAGCAGTCGGCGTGGAGAGCTGTGGAACTGCAGCAGTCGGCATGGAGAGCTGTGGACCTGCAGCAGGTGGCGTGGAGGCGTGGAGGCCTGGGGCCCTGCAGCAGGCGGCGTGGAGGCCTGGGG